GGGGGGCACTGCCATGGATGGGATGTGCCTGCTGTGATTTCAGGATCTGATATAGCTTTTCCTGATTGACTGTTGCCTATAAATATTGTTAGCCCACCACCACCCTAGAAAAGAACGCAAGGCAGGATTGGTGGAAACATAACATTCTCCACCCACAACTACTGCCTCTCGGAGATTTCAATCCTTATCTACACAAGTTCTTAACTTGCTTTATAATATAACAACTGTGAATATATGATAATAAGAAAATGATTACTAATTAAGAACACATCAAATCATATTTTAATGTCCCTTGCTATTATATATAATACATATATCTCCATCACACACACATGCGCGCGTGCACATATAACCGTAAGTTAGATAGTTGGTGAGTTCTTTTTTAATACTTTCAGCATACAATTCAACACTATATTTTAAAACAATGAGAAAAGAGCAGATTCTGGCCAGAAAAAGAAGAGCAGATGAGAGATCACTAGGATCCTGGGGCCATCTAGCTTTCTTGTTTGAATGGAAGACAAGAAAACCGCAAAACATAAGAGCCTTTCAAAAGTGAACCTAAGAGGATAAAACTCTTTCCCTTGATTTCAAACCACTAATGCCTTGTGGGCACTGCAAGTAGGGTTAATGGCTCCTAGCACTAAATATTCCTTTGGAGATCCCGATTAGGGGGTCCCATGGCTTCGTCGTGCAAGGCTTACCTGACCAGTGCACTACTCAAATGATTGGTATTCGTGGCATATGCATCAACGGCAGCGATACACGACAACGAATTGTCAAACGGCTGAGATTGTAACAATCATGACACTGACTATATATAGTTTCTCAACATACTTTACTATATCAACCCTTTTCTCAAGTAATAAACAATGGCAGCCGCTTCCTAAAAGCTTGTTCAGAGATTCTCCATGTTTTCTCTTCTTTGAACTCTCTACAGTGCACAGTCAATAAAACAAAAGATACCCACAACTTGAAAACTCTTAATTAGTCAATTTGTGGTTAGTTAAACAAGAATATTATCACCATCAACTTATAATATCTTAATCAAAACTTCATTTTCAACACAATTAGTTGGCTCTTAGCCTTTTACTAGAACACAAGCTGAGCAAGGAAAGAGAGCTATGGAGAAGCCACTAGGCCATTGTAGTATTGCTTTGCATATATTACATACTTATCACCACCACTACACTATCGAGTCTTGCTCTTTTAAAAGCCTTAATTTGCTTACAATTATCATTAAAGTGTTTCCAACGTATCCTATCTTGTCAATCACCATGTTAGATATACGATCCTTCCCTTGTAAAAGCATGCATACAATAAAAACCTGAAAAGTAAAGGTTGTTGAGAAAATGCATGAACATTGTTTGATAGAGGTTCCCAATCCCAGATATTGGGACCCCTATCAGATGTTCAATGTCCCTCTTTCTGTGAGTATTTAACCAAAATAAAGCAGAAACTGAAAACAATAGTTCTTCTGATGGGAATTATCGGAGTAGTTGTAATAATCCTGATATCCTATGTACCTGAAAAAGGACCACTTTCATACTGCTCTGGTAAGGCTATAACTTTGAGTTGAGCTTGGAAGTGCAAATGACATGGTAAAATGGTCCATCAAACGTAACAATGACAAAATGAGCTTTATTATGTTATGGGGACGCATAATTTCCGTAGAAGCAACTACTTCCTACCCTAATACATATGAAATAGCATGCACCTTTTGAATTTCTATTTTCATATAGGAAAGCACTATTGACTTCCAAGGTAATGAAAACCAAACAAGTCAGAATGCTTTTTTTCTGAAAAAGGGTAGCCTTGTCCCACTTCAATTTGGTCTTGGCTGTGCGTTGTACATTATATGATCCGCTACATTCAGAGAAAGCAGGGAGCATTAGTTGAATGATCCAACGGTCGAGATGCATGCTTGACATATCAATGGAATTTATAACCATTGAGTTAAAGGTAAATTCAAGAAGCTTAGAAGTATCTATTAGCAACTCCCATAATCGGGATAAGCACCAGTCAAAATCATTGCTGCTCTGTGTGTTTCCCAGTGCTCCTTTTATTAACCCCGTCATTTCTCCCTTCCTTAGCCCTGTAAACTTGCTGTTCTCCTCCTCTCTCCTTCCCTCTCTCTGCTTTGCCTCCCTACTGCAAATGTCTCAAGTCTCAATAAAATCTCCAAAACACTGTGCTAAGCAAGGACTTAACTTCGACAAACTCTACAAAAAGCTTTTTTTTGCCTTCTCAGGAATCTTTACCACTCTTCTCTTACTAATACTGATGATCTGGCTTATCCTGCGACCTGCCAAGCCTGAGTTCACTCTCAAAGAGGCTGATATCTACCAACTCAGCCTCTCTGGTCCTAACCTTCTCAACTCCTCTATCCAACTCACCCTACTTTCTAAGAACCCAAATCAAAAGGTCAGCATTTACTACGACGAGTTACAAGTTTATGCTGCCTACAAGGGTCAACAGATAACTGTTGATACCTTCGTTCCCCCATTCTACCAAGAACATCAGGATAGCAATCTATTAACAGCATCTTTGGTAGGAACTGGATTACCTGTGGCTCCATCCTTCAATTACGAAGTGGGGCGTGATCGAACTGCTGGAAAACTAGTTCTAAATCTAAAGGTGAATGGAAGAATCAGGTGGAAGGTCGGGATTTGGGTTTCTGGGCGATACAGAATTAATGTTAATTGCCTTGCTGTTATGGCTCTTGGACCTCCTCTCCCAACAGGACCTTTGAGTTCAAGGCAAGGGGCTACATGTTCCACCACTGTCTGAATAAGATCCGCCAGGCAACAAACTAAGCTGCTTGTGAGTTACTTCGCACTACCTGCTACGTTAATTAAGTTCGAGTTCTAAATGTTTTTGCTTCTCCTCCTAAGTGGTGTAAATTAATTATAGTACATGATAAGACTAAAGTTAAGATGATAGTGTCACTGAAAGTTTGTGGATTATGCACTTTATCTTTCATCATTGCAACTTCGATGTCGCTTAGCATGTGACGGTTGAGAGTGAAAAAGCAGAATTCCAGAGATTCTTTTAAGGTGGTTTTTTATGGATTGAAGAGAGTTTTGAGGGGTTCTTGTTTCAACTTTGCTTCTTTGCATGTCCTCTGAGCACAAAGAAACGGCGAGAGAATGATAGAGATGAGAATCTTAGGAGAAAAGGAGATAAAAGGCGGGAAATTTACACTCTACCTTTTTGCTAAGAACGAAATATCCACGTCAATCCCTCAGCTTTAATACTCACAAGATAACATTATTCTAGCCACAATTACTGGGTCCCTGTGGCCATTAGATTTCTGGAATCTTTTCTCGAATTCACTTTCTTTTCTCTGGATTTCAACCATACTTATGTTGTGGAATTGGATCTGTATGCTAATGAATATACTAAAGAACATACTAATTCCAGGAAATGGAATTTGGTGTCTCTAAAAGAGCTTGAAAACACTATATTTAATCAAACACATCTGATGCTACGAGTGAAGATTGAATTCAAGAAACCGATATTTCTTTCCCTTCTTATCCCAGCTATCCTCTCCCCACTCCCCTTGTCAATGTAAAACAAAAATCATTCAACTATCCAAGGTAAAATTGTAAACCAAAGCTAAAATATGTTTCACACCAGAGGCCAAACTTTTGCATATAAAGACAGGAATATACTAATATAAATTCTTCCATCATGGAAGGACAAGGGTTTAAAGGAAGCACATACATGTGCCACCAACTTTAATAATGCAATTCTTTTTTCTTTCTTTTTTCCCCATTTCGTACCTTTTATTGGCAGGTCAAAACATCACAGCCAAATATAAGCCAACTATCAAGCACTCAATGCCATTTTGTGACTAATAATAAGTGATGTTGTGGCGAAATAAAAATGTGATACAGACAAAGATAGCTCCACCGCTATTTTTCTTAGAAAATATAAAATTTAAAGAAACAAGAAACATCTATTGCCACAATTTTTCAAAAGTGATCAACATTTTCAAGATC